TGACATTGTTTTGCTTGACCAATGTTACTGGAGCTGTTAAGATTGCTGGGATTGAGTGGTAAATGTTAAACTCTTCTACAAACTTAATAATTCTGTAATTTAGTGTGGCGCAAAAGTAACTGTGTCAGACTACAGTAGGTTATTGGCTTGCATAGCTGAAGGATTTTCATCTGTTTTCTTTACCTGCTGAAATCTGTTCAAATTATTAATTTTTTTAAATCATTTTTCCCTGTTTCAAGGTATGATGGCCGAGAAGGATATGTTGAACCTAACTGTCCTTGCCTGGCAGTGTGCTTTGATATTGGACGTATGCAGATAATGAGACACGAACTGGATGAGAGTAAGTGATTTGAAATGGGATTGTGAAAGTGGTTAGCCTTTGCCAAGCTGATTAGTTGAGAAAATTTAAAAAGTAAGCTAGTAAGTCCAATTCCTGAACCTGTCTGTTTCTTTTTTCACCTTTTTTCCCTTTTGATTTGTCACTGATGGCATGTGTTTATCCCTTCATTATATACCAAGATTGTGAATTTAAGCTGGTGAATGGTAAATTTTACTGCCTACACTGAAAAACACATCGGCTATTCCAAATGCTTGACTGGCTCAATTTTCAGCATGGAGCCATGATGTTGTGCTGCCTAGTTTGGATCACAGTTTGGTTAATTAGGCTGAGTCTTGAACAACCCTGATACACTGAATATGTGGCACAGGGTTGCCACATGGTTAAGGAAAAGTCTGGAATCAACATGAAATTTCCAAGAAGTCTGCAATGTTTTGACAAGATCAAAGATCAAAGAAAATCTTATCTGATGTTATGATGTACTATCGTCAAATTTTTTTTTCCATTTCACAAGTCTTTGTAATGTTGACAAGTGTGAGTAACTAAATGTGATTATGGAAGCACTCTTCTTATACATTAATTAAGTGATCAAGACAGAATTTCTCCTTACACAATCAAGTAGACAAGTGATGCGAATTAAAAAAAAGTATAAATGAGGGGATGATTAGTTGGTCCAACACCAGATTGTTGGAACTAAAATTTACATCATGAGAATTGTATGGCAGATAGTAAGGAAAGTTACTGATAAAGCCTTGGGAGTGAAAAGGTTAAGTATTAATAATACATCTATGTATTGCATTTTGCACTTAGGTCCCATATTGATTGATACATCAATGTCAGTGATGAATATTCAGTGGAATAATTGTGGGTCTGTTCTGGCTGTTGCTGGAGTACAGCGAGCTACAGGACAGGTAGGTATAGGATTGTACAACTGTGTCACAAGTTAATCAAAACTATAGCGAAATTCTCGAACTGGTTATCATCAGCTAGATTTGAGCACTAATAGGACAGAGTGCGTGTCATGCTTGTAATTGGACAATGTAATAGGACAGTTGAAGGGACAGTTAACATGTCATGCCTATGTCAGTGGACAGGGCACATCATGTGTGTGCACTGTTGTCTCACATCTCACAGAATTAACTGGTTTTTTTTAATGAAAACGTATAGCCAATGTCTAGTTTCTTTCTCAAACTTTCCCACTTCATGGTAGACTGGTTTTGTTAATCACTTTTATGATTACAGACTGAATAGGACTCCACTTGGTCCTAATACCATTATTAATTGGCACCATGCTACCTTGAATGTTATGTAATATGTTGTAAATTAAGTTTTACTCGAGCATGTTTAGAGTTGTGGCCCAAGTTGTTGATGTAGTGTGAAAACATGTCATACCAGTGACTGCTGTCAATTAAAAATTAATATTTCATTTATTATATTATATTTTCATGCTTGAGTAATTACCTGAATAACTCTAAATGTCATTTGGACCTCTTTTTTCAGACATGTTTACCCAGTTAACTAAATTAATTAGGCAAGATTGTTAAAAAATGTAAACTGCATGTATTTGATAAAACATGCCTAGCTTAATAGATTTTTGACATGTTTCCAAAACATCTAAGGAACAGAAAATTATGAAGTATAATCATTTGTTATGTTATGTACAGGTGTATTTAGTTATGTACAGTTGTACTCTGTCAGCTCCTTCCTAACATATTTTCAAGGCATC